TGGCGGCAACAATACAACAGCGAGAATAAAAGTTACACCTTCTTTCTTTGCGTGAACATTTGGGCGGCGTTATGCAAATCTTCCCACATAGTGAGGTAGACATGTGGGGGCGTGTTAGAACGAGCCGTTTTAGGTAGGCGTGGTTGACTCTTAACTTTTATAAAGAATATCTCTTTGGATTTGAGACTTTAGTCTTTGCAACTTTACAGATCTTCTTTATGCACCAAGAGCTTGTAACACTCCAAAGAGAAAGGAAAAATTGAAATCGCATCATATGACCCCTTTAAGGTTATTTTGGACACGGCCTGTCTTCCTCACCATTTCCCCAAGTCCACCTACCTCAAAGAACTCATCATAGTGTTCCTGCATCTCCACATCACTGACAGAGTCTGGTAAAAGAGAGAAGACGCAGGCAGTCAGTTATGAGGCAGTAACTCCTGGACGTTGTTTATTTCTGTGAACATGTAGCCTGACTTAAAGCTGTACATATGAGCGAGACTTACTTATGCCATCCGCAGACTGAGCTGTGTTTTGTGGGTTCCGGTAAATGTTCAACAGAGCAATGGTCTGAAACACAAATCAAATGCGAATTACAATACAAATCTAACAGAAGAACCGTGCAGAACTACATCGGAGGATCACTGGTGTAAAAGCTGGCGCCTACCTGACTGAACGTGGGCTTGTTATGGAGTCTCGAGCATCGGTCTCCATGGCGACATGCTCCAATTTTAAAGTAGAAAGAGCAGTTGACCCTGTTGAAGACAAGAGAGGTTCAAAATACAAACACTTGCTCTGACTGTTCACACACACATGCTAGTTTGTTTGGATTTCTGTTCACACGACTATTCCTTCCCACCATATTATAATGCAAAAAACACGAGAAGTCAAACGCAGATTAGATTACTAACACTACAATGAAACGTAGAGACGATTAGCTTTTGCATTGAACCTTATAAAAGCGATCGAGCAACACAATGAACGAAACGCAATGAAGCCACGACGAGGCTGAGGCAAGATACAAAAAAAAAAGATTATAATATTATGATTATTCAGCATATGAAAGCTCCGCTCTGTGATGTAAGTATTTATTAGTATTATTGGTGTTTTACTAACCGCGAGGATGGCAAACAGGTCAGATGATGACCAGACGTGGCACGAGAGAGAAACTACTAATAATCTTATATTCTACCCATTATCACCGGTTTGTAACAATGCATACGATTGCTGAGAATGATCAAATGCAAGCAATATTTCATAAATACTTCAATTACTTACTTGTCTTTTTCTGTACCGAAAATCGACGCCAAGTATTCGGCCATTTTGAAAAAAAGAAAGACGGTGGGAGGCTTTTCTTCTAGTGGCGAATCAAGAGCAGAGACGCTGAACACGAAGCAGCGAGTGCTGCCCCCTAGTGTGCTGACGCGCAAACAGCAGCGTTAATCCAGAGGACGGAGTGGGCAAACGCATGCTTACTTATTGCTGTCGTCTGTGTGGATATGGTAATGCACATATTGACAATAGTGTTATTCAAGAATGTTGGGAATATAATTATTATATATCTTTTCTATATATTCTATATATATTTTTTATAACTATATATTTTCAAGGTAGTGGATTTGGATGGATAATAAAGGCTAAATCAGAGGAATATAGAAATATATGCACCAACATTGAGTGCAAGTATTGGGAAAAATGATCTGATCACTTGGTTATCAGTATACGCGGCAGAGATGATGGCGATTATTGTAGGTTTACAGTGGGTAGAGGAAGTAAAACCTGATATAGAGTGATATGTTGTTGATTCTAGCATTTCTTTATTGTATCCAAAATATGACATCTAACAGAGAAGATTTAATACTAGAAGTGCATCAACGTGTGTTCAGATTGAGCAGATTTCTGATCGATGTGAGATTCTGCTGGGCACCATGTAAATGTAAATATAAAAGGCAATGAGAAAGCAGACAAAATAGCAAATAATAATAATAATAATAAAATTAAATCAGGAAGAGTGATATTATAAATGTTCCCTTTGGTAAACGAGACGTTATAAGGCAATGATCAAAAAAGAAATGATAAAGGCAGGTTAAATAAAACACACACACACACACACACACACATATATATATATATAGTGTGTGTGTGTGTGTGTGTGTGTGTGTGTGTGTGTATGTGTGTATGTGTGTATGTGTGCGTATGTGTGTGTATGTGCGTGTATGCGTGTGTGTGTGTATGCGTGTGTGTGTGTGTACGTGTATGTGTGTGTGTGTGTGTATGTGTGTGTGTGTGTGTGTGTGTGTGTGTGTGTGTGTGTATGTGTGTATGTGTGTATGTGTGCGTATGTGTGTGTATGTGCGTGTATGCGTGTGTGTGTGTATGCGTGTGTGTGTGTGTACGTGTGTGAGTGTGTGTGTGTGTATGTGTGTGTGT